CTACATAAACAGATGCAAATACATTAAGGAGGCGAGGAGCTGAATTAGAGGCTAATCCCAATGGGGCAGTGAAAGCAAAGGGGACAGTAATTCTTCCCGTCTGTTACTTCACCTGTCCCTATGGCAGGAGCAGGAGATGCCCAGGGCTGTGCTGCTGGGTCTGGGGATGGGACGCGCACCCCAAAGCGTGGGATCACATCACCCAGCTCCACGACACGTCTCCCAGCTCCCCAGGTGTGTCAGCAGCCATCATTCCTCATGATTGTGGTGCTCCTTTCCTCACCTGCAGAGGTGAGGACTGAATGACTTCAGCCTTGAGTCCACCGTTGTACAGACCTGAGTTTGAGGAGCAGGGAACTAAAATGTATTCAGTAGCGGGGAAAAAAAAAAGAGGTTTTATTCCCTGTTTGCTGAGCTGTACAAGCACCCATGTGCCTTACCTGTGTCCTGAATAGCCATCTGAGGCTGTGCTTGCAAGGAAGCTCTCAGTAAGCATCTGCAGAGGTGCACTCAGGATTACCCAGGGTCCCAAAGTAAGGCTGTAGGACTGAAATCCTTCATTTTTATGAGCTGGAAGTGATAACGCTGTGAACTGCATGACAGCAGTGCCATGACGTGATCCACGCGCTCCGGTGCGTGGGTTGGTATTGATTACCCACCAATACAGATTGATGGCAGATGCTGATTCAAAGCCTGGCTGCTAGATAGCTGGCTGTGCGGGGCTGTTGATCAGTTAAAGCATTGCTGTGATTCACCATATTTATTTAAGGCTGGAATTTACTTCTATCCTCACGGCGTTGCTTCCACCTCTAAAATCAAGTCTTGTTTTTTTTTTTTTTCAGGACAAGGAAGGCCAGACTGCACTCCATTACGGTAAGCTGCCCTTCAGCACTCTTGTTCCCTCTTTGCAGGATGGATTTGCAGCTGGAGCAAATCACCTCCGTACAGAAAGCAAATTTCAGCAGCAGCATTAGTAGGAAGGATGGGTTTGATTAACCAATGGCAAAGCCCAGGAGCAGTGTGATGCTAACCTCCTGGTGTCCCGCTTACAAACCAGTTTGGTGCCAGCTGGGAGCACAGCAGATCTACTACTACCAAACCAAGCAGAGTGAAGTTACAGCTTGTCTCACTGCTGCAGCTATGTGCTAATTAAATACGAGATTTTATAGCAATCCTTTTAATTGAAAGAGTGTTCTACCTCTAAATGAGAAAAGTAGAGAGACTTAAGTGACACATGCAGTGCTGATATGCAGGGAATAGGGAAAAAAAAAAATTATTTCATCTCCATCGTAATTTGTTCCAAAATTAAGGCATGTCCAGTTATTATTTTATACTCTCTCTCAGTGGCTGTCACTGTGTAATTAAGAGCACACTTGTCATTCTGAAGTGTTTGTGCCTCTCTCTGATCTCTCCACAAGGACATTAGCAGGATGGCAATATTGCTCTGTAGTCCATCAGCCCGAGACACAGCATTTGGATCTGGATCTAAACAGCCAGATTCCCAGGCTCCTGAACCAAGGCTGTGATTACAATAATGTGTGAATGGTCCCCGTGTGATCTTTCCTGTAGGATACTTCATTTTTCAACCTCTTATCCTTCTGGCTGAGGTGGGGAATCTGTTGTGTCGGTGCTGCGGTGTTTGGTGAACGACTGATTTCATTCACATGATTTCTGCAGTCGTTTCTTTGTCCCAGGACACCTCTCCAGGTGCCAATGCTCCCAAACTGCAGTATCTTTCCTTCTCCATTCCATTCCATAGCGGATCCACTCACACGCCGCCCAAATCTCAAACACAGCCTTGAATTAATTGTTCCCATCCAAGCGGCCTGAGGCTGAGACTTGCTGAAGGTGTCCTGATGCACTTTGTAACCGACTTGCTAACTGCAGCGCAGGCACAGGGAGCTGCTGCTGAGCGGAATGAAGCCTCCCCTTTTGTTAGAGGACTTTCCGGGAAGGGTTAACCCCCACGAGAGGCTGCTTTTAGGGTGCATCCATCCCTTTTTACGAGCGAGCGTGCCCTGACAGCTGTCCTTGTGGCGACAGCTCTCCTGATTACAGCCGGCCTCGAACCGCGGGCTGCGCCGGGTGATAAATTCTGCCTCCTTCTGCCCGCTGCTGACCCTGGGTTTAATCGGAGGTTAAGCGGAGGCCAGCGCTCAGCCTCATCCCAAAGGCTCTGCTCGCCTTTGGGACCCGAGTCCTGCTAAATGGCCTCGCAGCCTCCCGTCTCCTCGCCTCCATCCATCCTCCAGCCCTCCGGGAATAGCGAACTCATCCCACTGCAGCTCCCAGAGGAAATCAAGGCTTGTCGGAGCGCTGGCGGCCACGTGGCTGCACGGTGGGCAGGCTGTGCGTCCTCACGGGCGCTCCGTCTTCCTTGGAAAGAGCCATCTGTTCGGCTCGGTGCGGCGGCAGGGCGGAGGGAGGGGAAATAAATAAAAAAAAAAATAGGAGAGAGAAAGAAATTCATCATCCGAACCCTGAGGATTAATGGAGTCACTAGGCGAACTGAGCTGAATGGAAATTCATCTTCACCCGTGCCGGTGTCAGGAGTGCCGCTCCGGCCCTTGACAAATAGAGGTGCCCAGGGTGCCATAAATCCGATGCTGGGGCTGCTCTGTGGGGACATGGTCCCTTATGGGGACACGGCAACCAGCCAGGGCACACAGGAGCATGGGCACCGTGCTTATAGGGTTGGGCTGCAGTTTCCTGGCAGCCCTGGAAATCCCCTCTTTGCAGCCACCCCGGGACGTGTCCTCTCTGTTTGGTCTCTCCCACATCCCTGCTTCATCATAGAACGACAGAACTACAGGACAGCTTGGGTTGGAAGGGAACTCAAAGACCACCGGGTTCCAACCCCCCTGCTGTGGACATGCTTGCCAACCTCTAGATGAGCATCATCCCCTTCCCTTCCTCCTTTTCTTTTTATCTTTCTATATAAGCTTCAATCACACCTTGCCTTTATTTTAATTAAACTTTGCCGCTCGTCGCTTCAGGTCAGCGCAAAACTGCCGAGTAATGCAAAAGATCCTCTGATTACAACATCTAACAGCAAAAAAGAGTTAGTCGCTTATATTGTAAAAGGACCTGAAATATAATTCAAACCAAAGAGGCACCGATCCGGCAGGAAGCGGCCCTGCAAGCAGCCCAGGGCCGAGATCTAACCCTGCTCTTCCTTCCTCCCTCCCCACAGCCTCCGCCTGTGAGTTTTCTGACATTGTGGAGCTGCTGCTGCAATCCGGGGCCGACCCCACGCTGCGGGACAAGGAGGGCTGCCTGCCAGAGGAGGTGACAGACTGTAAGGCCATCACCTCGGCCCTGCAGCGGCACACAGCAGGCAAGGTGTAGCCGTGCCGCGCAGCTGGATGGGTACCATCGTGCAGCAAAGCCCTGCTCTCCTCCAAGCAGGCTGCGGGTCAGGGTTTTGCATGCTCTGACATCTAGCAGTATTCCGAGGGAAGGAGTGGGGACAGGACTTGGATAGGCCCCTGTGTTTTAGTGCACACTGCCAGGAAGGGCTGCTGGCACGGCCAGGGCTGTGGGGTTGCATTACGGTTTGGGTTTTTTTTTTCTCTTGGGTCCAAGCAAAGTATTATAAATAAAACAAGCACAGTGTTGGGACAGTGTCTCTGTGTGCTTCTCTTGAAGGGAAGAACTTGAGGGTGCTGAGGGACGTGGTCAGTGGGCATGGTGGGGATGGGGTGATGGATGGACTGGGCGATCCAAAGGTCTTCTCCAATCTTAATGAGCAGCTCGGTTCCTGGGAGGCTGTAGGGATGGGAGGTGCCATCCTCTGTCCCGCACCCATCTGTCTGCCCCCAGATGAGGGATGGTAACATCTCCAGTGACAGTAAGAACTGCCGACACTGGGTCCTCCTGCAGTGCACCCACCTCTGGGCTGATGCTGATGGTGTTTGGCAGCCAACACTGTGGCATGGCATTGCCCACGAGCACAGGGCAGGCTCAGCAGCAGTGACGGGCTGTGTATTGCTTTGTGCCTTTCCTCAACAGATTCCAACACTTAGGGTCACTCGCAGCCCTTGCAAGAGGTGTTGGGTCAATGGCAAGGGCAAGTCAGCCTGCTGTGTCTGCTGCATCACTTTGGATGCACTTAGGACAGCCCAGCGTTGCATCAGCAAACCCACTGTAGCCAAAATGCTAATTCACAGCCTGCACCAGCGATTGAGCACCCGGTGGGAAAGCAGGGGGGACCAACTGTACCTCTCATAGCCCCCATTGTGAAGGGAACTTTGGCTCAATGGGCAATAAAACACCCTCTTAAAGCCAGGATAGAAGCGGTAGCATCGAGGCCCCAGCTTTCAGGGAGCACATGTGGGGCTCAGCACGCAGCCCTGGAGATGTTTATAGCACTTTAGGGCTGTTTGCGAGTTTGGAGCATTTCCAAAAAAAAAAAAAAAAAAGCAAGAGGGGGGTAAAAATGAGAAAGACATATATTATTGTTTATAATCTGCTTTATTCAGCCAAACCTTTCCCCAACAGCCTTGCGGATTGCTGCTTAAATCCCCCGGTGCCTTTAACTACCGATACAGAAAGTGGTTAATGTGCATTCGGGCTAAGCTTGGCATCTACTCCAGGAAATCACTTTAATTGAGAAGCATTAAATGTTAAAATGATTAAAATATATAAAGCCAACACACCGGTGCCCACGGCGGGGCTCAGCACCCAGCACGCCTCACCTGAGCCCGCACAGAGCTGAGGTCCCCAAATCTTGGGGCAGCCCCTTGGGGCACTGGGGGAAGCAGTGGCAGGGATGGAATTGCCCACTGCAAAGCACGGAGGTGTACCAGCTCCGTGTCAGGCTGCTGGGACTGCTGTCACCCCATCCATCCGCAGCTTGGTGAGACAAGCCATAATTGCTCCATCTCCCTCCTGGACCAATGCATCTCAGGCTTACCTCACCCAAATTACCTTGAGGGGCTGCAAACGGCCCCATGTGGGGTCAGAGCAGGTGATGCCGCTGCCCCCCCCAGTGGGGAAGAAGAGCCCGGAGACAGCAGCTGCGGATGAGACCCGAATTTATTGACATTGTGTGCCCTCGACGCGGCAGGGACCGTACACAGCTCATGCCATGGCACAGGAGGCAGGGTACAAAGCAGCATCCCACAGACAGGCTGTGGGGGGGTCGTGTCTCCCCAAAGACGTGGCAATAAATAAGATTTTAGTCTTTAAATTTTTTTTATTGTTTTCTTTTTTTCCTCCCCCCCCCCCCTTCCCCCCCCTTCTTCCCAGCAAACAAGACTCACTTTCTGGAACTGTACAACATTTACAAGGGGAGGGGAGGACGTTTGGCTGCATCGGATGGGGATGGTGAGCAAGCAGGGACTGCTGCAAGGACAGACCCCCCCGTCTCCCCTCCCTGTGCCACGCGGGGGCTGGGGGCTTGGCACAGAGCAGCACCCGGGGGGGGGCACGGCTGGGGGCACACAGGTGCAGCTGGGCAGTCCTGCAGCACCAATGCACCTCACTTGATTTCACGTTTATTTGTAACTCCCTTTGCTTTCGGCCTCGGGCAGCAGCCAGCACAGCCTGATGTCACCGAACGCCACCGTTCACGCACATCCCCGAGCACGGACCTCTTTTTCCCCACCATTTTGGGGAATGTTTTTGCACTATCCTGCAGCAGAGGCTCACCCTATGCTCCCCACCATCTTTCCTCGCGTTCCAGCCCCAGCTCGGCCGTGCCCTCGGTCTCTCAGCCTCGAGGCTTTTCTTCCTGCTGCAATTCCCTCCCCTCCAGCCAGCGAGGTGCAGCGCTGCACCGTAAGCACTCCTGCACGCCCGGGGATAAATCACGGCCCTGCAGCCGCAGCGCGACAGCCCCGCTCCCACCCGCCCAGCGCCGCAGCCAGCAGCCAGCACGGCCCCTGGGCCGGGAGAAACGCTCTGAAACGAACCCTTCTGCCATAAAGGCTTTGCCATCCCTGATTGTCCTCCTCTCCTGCGCACGTGGCTCTCCGCCGACCAGGAGGGACGAGGCGGGGTGACCCCGACATCCTCGCCGTGCTGTGCGCCCGCACCTCCCTTGTGCTTACACCCAAAGGCACCCGCCCCATCCCGAACCCCGGATATCGCCGATGCGCCGAGGATGGGCGCCGAGCCCCCACGGATCCCTCCGGCTCCTCTTCCCACGGGAAATCCTGGCACCATCTCGCATCTCCGGCGCTGCGCTTGCGGGCTGGGGAGAGCACGCAGGGAGCCGGGGCGGGGGGCGAACGGCGCTTAGAAAGGGGGGTGATCCATGTCGTCCAGCCAGGAGGCCGGGCTGGTGGGAAAGTCTGGGTACCCGACGCTGCTCCCCGTGGAGATGTCGGAGGTGGGGCCCCCCCCGGCCATGGCGCGCAGCGTCTGACTCACCCCCTGCGCCCCCAGCCCCATGCTGCTGTCCATGGCGTAGTCCAACCCGTTCAGCAAGGGCGGGTGGGACGGCAGCGACGAGATGGACGACGGCGACTGAGGGAGCCCGTAGGGGCTGCCGTCCCGCAAGTCCTGGTACGGCTGCCCCGTCCCATCCATGGCGAAGCCACCGTTCAGCAACTGTCCTCCTGCCACGTCGCCAACGCTGCTGTAAACCCGGTTGGTGTGGCCGAGCTCGGAGAGGATCTGGTCGTCTGCTGGGACAAAGGGAGGAGCGCATGGGGTGTCAGCTGTGCACGGGGAGCCCCACAGACCCCTCTACCCCGTGCCCCTCTGCCCCGCTCACCGCGGAAGCTGAGCTCGCTGTCGCTGACCCCGCAGTCCTCAGCTGAGCTCTCCTTCTCCAGCTTGCCGGCCCCGCGGCTCCGCTTGACGCTCTTGTAGAACTGGCCCCAGCGGTGCCGTCCCGCGTCCTTCTTCAGCCTCTTCTCCTTGGCCCGACGGTTCTGGAACCACACCTGGGGCAAGCAATGGGGACGTTGGTGGAGGCCCTGCAACCTGGCATCCCAGCATCCTGCGTGCCAGCACCTCCCAGCCTCACCATCTGGCACCCATACAACTCAGCATCCATCACTGCTCCAACCCTGCGTCCCCGCACAGTGGGACCCCCACAGCCCGACACTCCAGCTTCCAGGCAGCTGTGTAACCAAGCAGCCCAACCAAATATGCCGGCACCTGTGCAATCCTGCAGCCCATTAGCATGGCATGCTGGCACCCCAGCCCCCATATAACCCAACACCCCTGCACATTAGAATCCCTGCAACAACTCCACACTCCATCATGCCAGCACCTGAGCACCCCAGCTCCCGAGCACTGCGCATCTGAATATCCCCACAAATCAATGCCCCAGCAGGCCAGCATCCGTGCAACCCAGCACTCCTGGCAACCCAGCATACCCCAGTATGCCAACACCCATGCAGTCCGGCACCTCTGCACCGCATTACCATGGCATGACAGCACTCATGCAGCCTACCACCCATACAATGCAACAGTCCTGCTAATCAGTACATCACCGCTTCAACACTTTATCCCTGCACACCAGGATCCCCTGCACCCATCATGCCTGCACCAAAGCACTGTGCGAATGAGTGACCCTGCAGCCCAGCACTCCTGACACCCAACATCTGTGCAATCCGTCACACCTGCACCTCATTACCATGGCATCACAGCACTGATGCAGCCTACCACCCATGCAAACCTGCAACCTGACTACCCAGCACGCTGGCATCCATGCAGTCTAACACCTCTGCAACCCAGCACTACAACATTGCTGCAACCTTGCATCCATTGGAACCCCAGCACCCTCCATCCCGGCTTCCATGCACCCTGCAACCAAGCATCCCTGCAATCCAGCATCACATCACCACGACACCCCTGCACCTGGAACCCGATTTGAGCTCTTGCTGGGGGCCAGCCTGCTGCTGGGCTGTGGGCAGAGGCCTGGGCCTCTGGGTCTCACCTGCACCACCCTCATGTCCAGCCCCGTCTCAGAGGAGAGCTGCTCCCTCACGTGCCGGGCAGGCTTGGGTGAGTTCTTGTAGGCATTCTTCAGTGTCTCCAGCTGCTTGGCCGTGATGGTGGTGCGGGGCCGCTTAGCCCCCGCCTCGGAGTCATCTGCGAGCAAATGAGTGGCGTGAGCATCCCTGGCAGTAAAACACCAGCTTGGGGGCCAGCAAACACGAGCTTAGGGGCCGTGCCTACCGTTCTGCTTGGCGGTTTCATAGTCCTCCTTGCACACCAACCTCCCATCCTCCATCAGGTAGAACTCGTCTCCGGTGGCCAGCTGCCTGCTGCAGATGATGCAGGCGAAGCAGTGCAGGTGGTAGACGAAGTCCTGAGCTTTGCGCACCACCTGCGTGGGGGGGATGCCCTGCTGGCACGCCGTGCATTTGGTCCCGAAGCGCCTGCAAGGACAAGCGGCCGGCGGGGCAGAGTTAACCCAGCAATCAGGCTAATTACGTGTGACACCTCACGCGGCGCGGCTTCATCTTCGTCAGCGGCTGCCCTAATGGAGCTGGGGAAGGGTTGAGTTTAATGGTTCTTTTAACTAATGCTTATAGGCTGCCTGATTTCCCCCGCAAGGACAGTACATATTTCATCCACATTAATACCAAATAAATTAATTACACCGCCCCGCTCGCATGATGAATCCCAGATTAATGCAGAATGATGGGGCTCTTACGCCGTAATGACAGCGTGGCTGTGCCGTGCCGTGCCAGCAGGGTGGGCTGCCAGGGGTGTGCAGTGAAACTGTGCACGGACTGTGCAACAAAACTGTGCAGAGCGGGCACGGAGGAGCGTGCAAGGGAAGAGCAGTGAGGTCACCATCCCTGGAGGTGCTATGGAATTGTGGAGATGTGGCACGGAGGGATGTATGGATGGGTTAGGACTGGACTTTGGGATCTGAGAGGGTTTTTTCCTCACTCTTAATGATTCTATGTGCAAAAATATTGAAGCGTGGCCTTTTGGGAAGCTTCAGGGGAGCAGACCTCAGGCCCCATGAATGGGTGAACCAAAGGTGACAGCACTGGGATATAGACTGGCACAGGGTGATCTAAGTGGGCCCTGACATGAGCCCAGCACTGAGCTCCCAGTGCCAATATCACCAATCCCCACACCTTTCAGCCATCAGTGTAAGTGACTTTGGGGTCGACGGCTTCATTTCAAGCCACAGTTTTCAATGGCTGCAGTAGTGGGATGTGGGGACGTGGTGCTGGCGCTGCCGTGCCCGTGGGCTGGCAATGGGATTAAGATCCCCAGGGTGAGGGGGGGCACTGAAAACATGCTGAGCTCCCTCCGTTCTGCTGAGCTGGGAACGTCCCCCTAGGATTATGGCCACATCATCGCCATCCTGCGGGTTGCTGAGGATGAAGGATGGGAGACGCGGTGCCAGCCCTTAGGAAAACCCCCAGATTCTGACAGAAAACAGGGATAGAGCATCTGTGTTGGGAAGTACATTTTGAGGGGAAGGTGGGGGGGGTGGGAAATGTTCCATGTGGGGGGTAGGAATGTTGTTCCACGCAGCAGCCGGGGAGGTGGATGAGCGCACGGTGCGGAAGGAAAGCGGCGGGGAAAGGAAGGGAGGTTCAGCGAGGAGAGAATATAAGAAGGAGGGGAAAAAAAAATAGGGAAGAAAAGGGGGAAAAATGAAAACAAATAAATAAGGGGGGAGGAAGAAGATGGAGGGAAAGGTTAAATAAAATAAAATAAAAAAAAATTAAAAAAAAGAAAAAAAGGAGGAGAGGAGCGGAGCGGTGCCCTCTCGATCGGCAGCCGGGCAGAGAGCGCAGCATCGGGGATTTCACGGTTACATCGCGACACGGGGCGGCCGGCAGCGTGCGGGGAGGACGGAGAGAAGGACGGGGAGCTCGAGGTACTCACTTGAAGAAGTCTTCCTTGCAATAGACGCTGCCGGCACGGGCGAAGCAGCGCTCGGCCAGCTGCATCTGGCAGTCGGCGCACTTGAGGCACGAGCTGTGCCAGTGGCGGTCCAGCACCTTGAGGATGAATTTGTCCAGGATGTGTTGGCTGCAGCCGGCGCACTGCGGGATTTCTGCGGGGACGGAGGGGAAAACGGTTCAGCAACGCCGGCATCGCGCGGAGCTTCGAGCTCCTGCCATCCCGGATGGAGAGATGGGAACTGGGGG